CAACATAAATAAAGACCCACTCGCTGATTTCTTAAAGTGAACGAATTCATTCACCGACTTGGCGAGTGGTCAGTATTAAATTAGAATTCGGTGCGTGCGGTTATCAAAGAAGTTTAGTTTAGCCACGCGGTCGGTAAAATATAGTGTAAAATGTGAAAATTAAGTAAAATATGTGAAATAGTGGTGCGCTGCATAAATCAAATACCGCGAGTGTAACAAAAGAAAATAGGCTATGTTATTAGTAGTGTAAATTCAATGTTACTTCGAAATGGTGGTGGCTCCGTTCGTTGTTTTATTTAATGCCGTAAAATCCGGCTTTCATAAAAGAAAAGTGAAAAAATGCGTAGAATATATATATATTTGTAAGCACACAGATATATATATGTGTATGTTAAATAAATATAATATATTTAAATAAAGTGTTCTGAAATAAAATATGTAGTGATGTGAATGTGAAATGAATGAAAAATTGCGCAGCAGCATAAAGGTGGTATTCGTCGTATTGGAAGATCGGCGAGTGAACTTCTTCGTGCAGATACGTACTAGTATGAATGTATAGTTATGTTTTTGTATGTATGGATATACAAAAGGATCTGATTTTCAGTGAGTTTTTAATGCTATATATTAAAATATTAACCCAGGCAAATCTCAGATTATTAGCCATCAAATTGGTAGCGCTTGTTATTTTCACATCTCAAGGAAAAGTTATGTTTCTTGTCTGTGCCACCGCGATCATTTTTTTCTGCTATATTAAGCAATTTAAATATAACTTAACTTAATATTTTATTAAAAATACCTTAACAAACCGCTTTTTCTTGCCAGCGTTCATTTTTGTTCACTTTTACATTTGAAAAAATGTCTCCTCTTCGCAAATATAATCGACAAAACTAGGTTGGATACCGAAAAGTTATCGATTTAATCTGTGATAATTTTAAACTACGGTTTAACGAGGGACACATTTTTTATGGATAATCACTTTTTCTAGTTACAGATCAGGCAGTTAAGCCCGAAAATGAGGATAACCTACTTATATGTAAACCCGATATTACCCGATTTATCTACATACTTTATTTGTTGAGTCTGCAATCACCATTCTAAATCAAATAAGAATCTTGCTAAAATCGAATTGGAACTCCCTGTTTTCTATGTTCGTTGCTGTGTGCTTTTCAAATTGTCGCTTTCCACTGGCTCTAAAAACTTAGAAATTTAGTTTGTGGCTTCGGTGGGTTGTGGGTTGTATGATATTGGAATAATACTTATGCATGTACATACATACGTATGTATGTTTGTAGTGAGAAATTAATTAATATCCACATATGAACAGCAAAAACCACTTCAAACAACACAACAATTCCTTTTCCTACGGATGTATAACAAAAAAGCTAGCATCCGCAGGAAAAAGCACTAGCAACATAAATAAAGACCCACTCGCTGATTTCTTAAAGTGAACGAATTCATTCACCAACTTGGCGAGTGGTCAGTATTAAATTAGAATTAGGTGCGTGCGGTTATCAAAGGAAGTTTAGTTTAGCCACGCGGTCGGTAAAATATAGTGTAAAATGTGTAAATTAAGTAAAATATGTGAAAATGTGGTGCGCTGCAAAAAGCAAATACCGCGAGTGTAACAAAAGAAAATAGGCTATGTTATTCGTAGTGCAAATTCA